TGCGCTGTTCATCAGACGCCATTGTAAACTCTGCTATGCTTCGGGGTTGCGTAATTCACGTAGACTTGCCATTGGATGTTCTGAATCCTTGCAGCGGATCCTTTCAAAACCACATAATACCATAAAATTATGTCCATTTTAAATATACATTTAAGCTCGAAGAAAACATTGGTACGAATTAAGTCATTCGCCTCCTATGAAAGACAAAGGAACAGATATGGCTAAATACTTTTCAAATTATTAGCCTTCATCTACTTCTGTCTTGTGCTTTATTGGATACTTAATTTATGATAAGACCCCATTATCAATTATGAGTTAGTTGCCCTGATCCCGACTCAAGGTCTTCGTTGGGTTCCTCAACAATGTCCACTCTGAATACTGAACTGACACATCATTTCAGCTCGTCTAATTCACTTTACGTATTCAGTGGTAGGCATCAAATTCACCTAAATTACGATGCTTGGTGCTTGCAGTACCAGCGAGGCAATAGACACGATAGTTGACATTTAGGCTCCTCCAGCTTAGCTGAAATTCTAGATTTTATATACAAAAACTAGGTTATCTTAGGTTTGTGGTTTATTTGACAAAAAATGAACACAAGAAGAAGAGAACTGGAGAAACATAAAAATGAATGTCAGGCGTCACAGCCGTGTTCTTCTTTACCAACGTTCAACCGGGAGAGATGATAAGTGGTTCGTTTGACTCTACAATCTGCAGTGTGCTTTTTGTGGCGTCCTGCGTGTCGACATATGCGCAAATATAACTCTCAATTCACATTCAAAGCTAGGAAACACGCAGGCGTGGGTGGTCAGCAAGCTAGTAATCCCTTATCACGGGATCCGGCTTTTAAGTTGGTTATTTTTAATGACTTCTAACCCCAAAGTCGGAGTTAGCAGATGAGTTGTGTTTGTTGGTCGTTCGCTATAACAGAGAATGTCAGAGGTTCAAACCCTTGGTGCACAACATGGACGTTCAAACTTCCTTGACATCAGGTCTGAGTTAAATTGTAGCTCATCTCCTCCCCAAGCACCAACGACAGTTATTCTAAGATGGTCAAGCACTACTTTTCTCAAATATGCTTTATTCAAACCCTGGTGCACAAGGCTTAATTGAAAACGCGAGCTTAGGTTGAGGTCTCAAGTGAAAACTGCAATGCTAAAAGGTTTTATTGGTGAACCACTAGCAGGAAGGCGGCCGCACATTGAATCACCAAAGTCACAACCAGCAGCATAAGATACGGACCCAGGAGGCCAATACAACCTGCCATATTGTATCCGGTCTTTTCCATACTTGGGCTTGGGATTCAACTTTAAGATCTACTTTCTGGAAGACACTGCGAACAGAGCGATATACCACCCAAGTTAGACAAAGAAGCCTTTTTTTGGGTTTGTTCCTCCATGACTTTATATTATCGGAAATTTAGAAAAATGGGAAAATCGTATCAGTTTAGATATTTACCAATTAAATATTGTCTAAATTGGCATTTAGTCTGTATACTTAAACTTTTTTGAGCACTTATTAAAAATCAATTCATTTGTATCAAAATGGTATCACCGCCAATATTTTTAAGTGATTTTTTTGGGATCTTAAGCATTCGTTGTTGCATTAAAAAGACTATTTTTACACATTTACAAACTAAGACAAGTGAAGCCGGGGGCTAAAGTACATATGTGGTTATGAGTAGTGCGGAGAATCAAGTGAACATCCACCAATGGACTCAGCAATCTATTTTCAAACAAAAATGTCCAAAAGACAAGCGTTTTGGTAACTGACGCTCATAAATAGGCCGTTTTCTTTGTGGCCACTCACGAAGACCTCTCAAGGGGGAAAAACTGAAGACCGATTAAATTCATCTGTCAGTTGGTCACACGTTCCGTTTGTTGAATGAACATGTATGTCGTCATCCGCTATTGCCTTAGCGAGATGTAAACACCTTTTAAAAAAAGCCAACCAGACTTTAAAAATAACCTTGTTTAAAAATGTGCAGGAATTTGGTCAAGAAGTTGGCTCACACACTGCACAAAAAGTTGCAATGTCAAACCTAGCCAGGCAGAGCCGTGAAAAAATTGGTTTTTGCCTGGACAAACGTTTTGGAAATTCCTAACTTCACCTCACACTTGCATAGCTAAATATATTTACTGCGCATATTCTTCGCTGTGATTGTAATTACCGGGACAAGTAAAATGAACATTGAAATTGCTACTGAAATAAATAGATAGTACTAAAAATTCTGCAAAGAGGTTTGACACTTTGACGTGAATCACTAATGTCTACCTTTCAAAAGTCAAAAGTGTACAGATCGTAAATTTTCATCGACAACTTATTAATAGCAATTGACTTGTAGAAGAAAAATTTTTCCTTTGTGTAGATACTGAAATGAAACTAAAACAAGTAAAATATGTTAGCTGTGAGCTTCAAGATGAGTTGTAATACAGGGATATTTTTGATTTCACGATGCTCTTAGGATTATTGTTACAATTTTTACGTACATAGCTGCAAAAATATGATCAAATTGTAACACAAGAACGAAGATCCTACCTAGGATAAGAGATGGACTACTTGTGAGTCGGCACGAGATACATGATCCAAGCAAACACACGGAGTAAGGCATGGGACGAAAACAGGAAACTTCTTGGATAATTTATTCGAAAAATGAATACAAGACGAATAGAAGAAAAGGCGGGTGAACTTGACGACAGGATTCAAGACGCATCCAAAGGTTCATATACTAACTGTTGGGCAGGCCTAATAGAGTAAAAATATGGGACGGAGTAACCAGGAATGAAAGGTGTTCGATGGCGTGGATTGTGGAGTGCGTGAAAAAATGCGAAAACGAATTAAGTACGCGTCTAATGCTTAGCAAACATCAGATAGAGATTTGTACAAATTGGAGCGATTTAAGGATTTGCATGTTCACGAAACGTTCTTAATTGCCCGACTACCTTTTGGAATCATAAAAATTTAGGCAAAATAACCATCCCTGACTACGTTTAGACATTAAATGATTAAACTTCTCAGGATAATAAGTCCTTCAATGCAAGGGAATAACATATCTCCAAGCTGCAGCAGACTTATGAAGAATTCTTCCTTGTGCCGTCATGTATTCAAAACCACCCAATTGTCCCTCTTCTCACGGTTGCAAATACGACATCATAATTCTTCGAAGTCGTCTTAATATCTAAACAGCCGTCGTAATTAAAACGAGCATAATGTGCAGCACCTATCTCTTCAGGTAACCGATGCTGACAAATAAATGAGCTTTTGTTTGACATTTTCAGGGTTTAAAGCATGTTACGATTTTAATACCTGTTCTAGTTTTTCCTTTACCCGGTCATTCTCAAAAGTTAAGGTCAATGATTTTCCATAAAAACAATTAGTTTATAAGAAACTTGACTTAACCCTTGATACTTAGGAGCCTGACGCTTGATGACAGTGACTAATATGGAAAGCATTGATGACCCTACTGGCAGCTAAATATTTACAAAAAAAATATTTCGAGATAATTCCTATTATTTTGGCCATTTTCTTGCACTTAAAGCAAAACCGTCGAAAAGCTATTTTAAAAATGAGTCAAGGATATCAAACAGACGTTTTTTCTTGAATTGTACATAGTTATGCCATTTAAACAGCAACGGTGTGCTCTCTATACAGACCATTTACAGCAGAAATGAATCAGTGTTAACAACATTTAAGGCCTCGAACAGTCATAAAAAACAAAAACAAAACCCCCGTCACGAAAATATGGAACGAAGAACTAGTACTGACTTCTATAATTTGTTAATATCACCACACTCAGGTGACGCATAGTGAAAAAAAGTTCTTAAGAACTTGATAATTTTGAGCAAGAAACAGTTAGGAATCACGACATCAAAAAGAGTGACTTTCTTCAGATAGATACAAATTGCAAAAAATAACTCCACTGATTGAAAAATATCTCTTTTGGGGTAAAGTTTAATGGGAATGGAACAAATAAATTGCAAAAAGTGCAAATTGTAGACACGGCACGAAAGTATGACTAAAGCAACTCAGTATAATTTTATCCTCAATGTTGCTCTGCAATGATGAATCATGTCGAGTTAGTACAACAGTCGATATCGTAGCTGCAGCAGACCAACGTGCAAACAGAATTAGGGTGAAATTTACATGCTTTGGTATCCAACGGAGACGTTTCAATAAAAAATATATGTCAAGGAATTTGAGGTCAATACAAAACTGTCTGTTATTATATTTTTTAAGAGTAGTAAAATGCTGAACTAATGCTAAAAAGTTAGGAAAAGTGATTTTTTATTGAAAGATTTATTGTCCCCTTCTTGAATGAAGATATCGTGTGGATGCCTTCTTATTACGGCTAACGAATCGTATGCCGGCACACTTTCAAATCGGAGATATATTGTAAAGTCCGCCTGTGTTGTGCGTTGTTATCGTTAGTTTTTTATTTGGCGACTTATTATGGAGAATACCCCAGTGACTACTGCCTTATTCACTTTTAAGCACGTATTTAACAGTGCTCAAACGCATTCTATTTGATGGGCACCTAGCCTTTTTAAAGTGGAATTTTGCTTTCAGATTTTTTTATGAAAGTTGCTCATACACGGTTTGATACTGCGATACTATGCCAATCAACGAAATCATTATCGTTTAGTCAAGCGAAGTATAGTAGCACTTTTCCGTAGATTTGATAGGCAAATGAAATAGCAGTTTGCTGCCGTTGTTTTCATTAATTTATGTTGCATGTTTCAATCATTTTGTTTTTAAAATAGACACCAAAATTAGCCTTCTAGGTCAAGTTGACACGTATACACTTTAAGTTATGCTTATTTTCTCATCTTTGTTGTTTTGACTCATTTTGTTGACACACGTCACTCGTGAATCCCAACCTGTTTCTTTTTGACATTACTAAATAATTTTTCTAGAAAAAACTGTTTGGTGCCTCGGATTTTGGATTTTTGCTTACGTTTAGTTTTTTCCTTTGCAGATCACAGTACTGGCGAATGTAAATAATGGTTGGCACAAGTCCCGGAGAGCTAGTTCTCCATTCCCTTTTAAAACAGTTTTCTTCCATTTGTCAAACAAAAGTTGAAGGTGCTCTGGATGACAAAGCGGTATGTACTTATTTTATCTGATTATTGTTTACCTGCTTGGTGTTGTTTGTACATTCTGATTTCATTGTAGGCATTTTTGACTACTAAAAACACTGCTGGCGTACATGTGCTTCAATCGTTGTTGTTGTATTCCCATGCTTCATTTTGGATTTAAAGACTATTAAGGTTTGATTAAAATAAGCCCTCTGCTTACGTTCATTAGTTTTTCTCAGTATTACAATTTCAACCGTTATAACAATGAAAACATAATTTGATCATTAACTTCTGTGTAAGTCTATCAGCGCACGCCATAATAACACTTTTTTGTCTTCGTTTTTTGGTGCCTTCAGGAAAATGATCTAGTCAAGTGTATGCGTCTCCAGGAAGATGTTGCATTCCAACAACTCCTGACGGCCTTAAGCACTTGTGCAGAGCATGCTCTGCCATCTCTTCTTCAGACAATCACTAAGTGGTATGATACTCAGCACTCGTCTGGTGCCCTCTACCCCTTCCGTCGTCCGGCTGCACAAACCCTAACTTCAATCAGAGATGCACCTATATCGCCCAAACCATCTACCTCAGCTGCTGGACGAAGCCAGACCCTCTCAGCTGCCACTGGAGCTGCCTCCGCTGGCCAGCTGCCCAGTGGACGTGATCAACTGGTCCGGTCGATGCATGTCGATAGTTTCAGTGCTGGATTTGCGTCTGCAGAGGCAGCTCCAAGTAACACAACTTCCGCTTTGTCCCAGCCAATAGAGACCCAGGAGTCTTCTGCTCCCTGGGTCTCCTTGTCCAATTCAGCTCGAGAGAACATGGCAGAAAGGCGTGATGTAAAGTTCCAATCACTTTTATTTTGTATTCGTTACCTTATGTTTACCCGCTGTTTTGTCTTACTACCTTGATCTCGTTAATTAAGTGTGTTTACAACATTCCTCTAGTTTCGTACTTTAAACTATTAACATTTATCTACACATTGTTTATATTCTGATTCACTTTTACGATGTTGCGATTTTGTCGAATTTGATAAGCCACCAAAAATCGTTTGCCATGTTTTTTCCTTTAGCTGAGCATTGACATATTGTACTGTCAAGTACTTACTTCAGTGTTGAAACAGCTTCCTTACCATCCTGGTCACGATGAAATAATCAACAAGATCCTCGATCAGGCATTCAAGCGCTTTGAGTACAAAGAGAAGTGAGTTCGCAGTGCATTGATTTTGTGTCCCCTTTCACTCGACGTCCATTTTCGTATCTGTCTTGTCGTAATCACGCCTCACATTTTGACAGATCAGTTGTTAAAGTTAGCATAAACTTTCACGGATTTTTTGTTATTCTGCTTTGCCTAACCGTGCTCACTACTGCCATATTTACTTCGGTTCACTGACTCACACCTGTGTAGTCCCTGATCAGTGAGTTAATCCGACGGAAAATGTTCAGGTCACCATTCACTCCGTTTTGTGTTTTCTTTTAGCCTGCAGTCTAGACGCAATGCCGAGAACATTAACTTAGTTGCTGATATGTATGCAAAGGTCGTTGGCGAACTCTCGCAGACAAGGTAGGGCACGTTCTTTAGAAAGCCTGATTTGCATACCGTGTTTTGCTCATATTTAGTCAAGTTTGCTCTTTCAGCCGCCTTGCACCGTGTCTGGTAATTTCATTGAAACTATTTTCCGCACGCCAGGTTGTTTTAACGTGACCTGGGGTATAAAAAAAGTTGGTTTCAGGATCAGAGGGCATACAAGGTGTTATCTTTCCCTTCAGATTCGGACTTGTGAGGCAACACTTTACGTCACGACTCGCGCAGCTCCGAGCCAAAGAGAGCAGCTCCTATACAACGCACAGCATAATCTCGCTTCTCATGGGAATGAAGTTCTTCCGTGTTAAGGTGGGCCTCAGCCATGTTGCCTTGCCGGTGTGCTTTCGCACACATATCCATTTCATGCTCTCTTGTGGTGAGTTAACCGTACACACTTACCAGACCACCTCGGAAGCGTGATGGATCCACACTTGGCTAACCAATCACTTTAGCGCTACACGGCTTCGCGAGGTCGTTTAAGAACCTTTCGCACCTGTTGTCTACAGTGAACACAAATTCTGTCCCACACTTCTCACCGCAGTTGTGGCACTTGCTGTAAAATTACATGACTACCTTTTTAAGAAGTTTCTCACTAATTCGAACCGGTATTATCCTCATTGTTGTGGCTTCTGTCGTGTGCATCCGTTCAGATGGATTCCATTTTAGAGATCACAATGATTATTAGTGACTGGTTCTAGCTATGTTAGCAAAATCTGTCAAGAAATTACGCGTTTTAGTGTGTAGGAGAGAGCTGTGGCTTGGGTTGTAGGTCAACTTTAAGGGGACAGTGCAGTAAAAGTTCATGTTGGCTATCGGAGTTGGTCTAATCGGTTAGGTGTTGCCATTTTCGCATAACTTTCGATTGCCTGGGTACCCTGATTCGACCTGATTCCCACTAAACTGCAAGAATGTGACTACAAGCCTCATCAGGTACCTAGCAGATGCTGGATGTGCAGACCAGACACAACGAACGCCCAGTGTCGGTTTGCGAGTGCACGTGCATTGACTACAAATCACAACGCCTCATTCCAAGTTGAAATTAAATACCCACCGCCAATGGCTGTTGCAGTGTGAAGCAAGCATTTCCTAAACAGAGGTTTTACCAGGAAACCAGGACAGTTTAGGTGCTTTACTTAACGAGCACTCGAGGTGATGACCTGCGCATTTCGCGGTGCGCTTTCCGCTTCAGATGCATCCAATCGAGGAGTTCGTGGGCTACTTCACATTCCTCCACGAATTGGGTCAGTACTTTCTGGAAGTGAAGGAGAAGGAGATTCGCCACGCAATGACGTGTCTGTTTGTGGAGATCCTCTTGCCTGTTGCTGCCGTCGTTCGTCACGAGGTCAACATTCCTGCCCTCAAAAACTTCGTCGATCTCCTCTACAACCCTGCTTTCGAACTGGCCAGCAAAAAGAAGCACGCTTTAGTACGTCATAATTTCGATTTTTGACTGGTCTTTAAATGCTGACATTGGTGTTGCTTTGTTGCTATTTCCGGGCGTAGTTTGGACCAGGGTGTTCGCAAGCCGCGATCACCCCATCTCTAACTCTTCTGGTATCTGATCATTTCTAAAAGAATACGAGTCACAGCAGCATCTAGATAGTATACTGCTCAAGTTGACAGCGGTACCTACTTCTAGAGTTTGGGGTATTTCTCAGATATGAAATAATCTAAGCATTGCTTTAAACATGCCAAGAGTTTCTGCGAATTATACCGGTAGATCACACTTCTGCGGGCCATTGAACGCGCCTACCAGTACTAAACCAGAAGTGCAGTAAGTTTTCTTCTTGAATTCAGGTGTAACTTCGTGGTGGTTTTATGACAACTGGCTAAGTTCCACCGCATTATTACGTGGAAATGCGCATTTTAGGCACTCTTTCCCATGGTTACGTGTCTACTGTGCGTGGGCACCAAGTCCTTCTTCCTCACCAACTGGCCACCTTTCATGTCGCTGTGCTTGAGCCAATTAAAGAACCGCGATCTGGGTCAGGTCAGCATTGAATCCCTCTTCCGGCTTCTCTGGTGAGTGCCTTGGTGCCCGTCTGTCTCCCTGCCTGCCTGCCTGCCTGCCTGAATCACTCCGTGGTTTTTGGTATCTCACATTAGTGTTTCACCCTCCCCAATCGATCTTTCCATCTACACACCAATTGAAGTCTTCTGTGCTATCAACCAATTGAGTTGTTGGTTGGACTCAATCATCTCGTGCTACGTGAAAGGCCTCTCAACTCAGATTTATCAATGAACTCGCGATGAAAGCCTTTTTTCATAAGCTCTTGTGATTCTCCATCACGACTTCAGTGCAGCAATAAATTTCTTACTTCACGCTACTGCCTTTGCCAGGTTTTCCCGCTATTCAAAGATAATTTCAACAGTGGCCTGTTTCACTCCCACGCAGCCTTGCTAGTTTATGTGTGACACTACCTCCTCAAGTACGCTCGTATTTTCACATCATCATCATCGTAATTTCGCGAACTTCTAACTTATCCGTGCTCAAGTGGTCCCGAGTGAATCATCCTTGTGTTCGAGTATTTGATTCCATATCAACTCACATTTATTGACTTTGTCCCGTTGTCTTTATCCTTGCGAAGTACCTGATTTCAAACTAGAGTTATATAAGTCTAACTTCGTGGTCATACGCGCTGTAATGAAGGATAGTCACGTGTTTTCATTAACTGGACCCGCAGAAATGTCTTTCTAACCAGGTGTTTGTGCTTTGGTGCGTGTTTACTGCGCTAACATCGGCTTATTTTTGAAAAGTAATCTTCTGGTAACTATTTGAACCGGTTATCGGTTTCCACTATTGGAATTGACTCGCTTTTAGTAATATCGCCCGTCAGACTGTGTACGGAGGTGGTTGCTGAAATTGTCCGCGAAAAAATCTTTACTTGACGAAATTAGAAAATGCTACCCCTGCCCTTAACACATTTACCGAGAACGTCACACACAACTTGTCAACCAACCAATCACGTGACGACATTTCTGACGTTCTGTCACCGAGTTTGGTATTTTACCTTAATTTAAATGGTTTGTTTTCTGGTTTAGGGTGTACGTTGTTCGAATCAAGTGCGAGAAGCACACCGACACGCAGAACAAGCTGCAAAGCATAGTGAGCGGTCTCTTTCCCAAGGGTTCTAAGTCGGTGCTTCCCAAGAACGTCTCCAGCACAGTGTTTGTGAAGATCATCCACTTCATTGCTCAGGTGCTATTCTGCTGCCCTTGCTGGGGGACCAATTGGGTCCATTAACTCGTTTTTTGTGTGGCATTGTCTGCATTCTCCCCAACGCTTTCGCCTCTCACGGCCTTTTTGTATTTGCCTTTCAGGAGAAGCTAGATTTTGCCATGACAGAAATAATCTTCGATTTGTTGGGCGTGAATCGCCTTCAAAAGCTAGTATTAACACCTGAAGTAAGTCCTGTTTACGCTGGACGCGTACTTATCGCAAGTTGTGGCAACACCAGATCCAGAACGCGTAACTTAAATTTTCGCCTGCGTGCCATTTTCGATTTTCTGTTCTCTCACACCTTTCAAAGCCACTCGTGATTGGCTGTTGTTATTGGCGTGCAAAAAGAGTTCGATTTAGGCGCATTGTCATCACTGCGACGCCTTCCCCTTTATGTTTTGCCTTGTAGCGCATGAACATTGGCCTGCGTGCTTTCCTCCTGATTGCCCACGGTTTGCAACAGAAGGACGGTGAACCGCCGATGCCGCAGAACCAGCCCCTTGGTGTGGGCGCTTGCTCCGTTCCTGGGGCCCCGCACGCTCGGGCCGGGGGTGTTCGTCGCTCCTTCCACGGAACCACACTCGACGATACGCTGTGCGAGCGTCTTGGCATCAGACCTTACCTCGTTCATGTGAGGAAGGCCTTTGAGGCCATTCTCCGCCTGTTGGACGCTCAGGTCTGTCGAAACATGATGCCACCGAAGCAGGAAGTGACGATTAAAGACGGCGACGAGGCCGCACCGTACGTGAGCTAACCCACCACCACGACTCCTTATGTCCACGGCTGATATCAGGTTTTCGATCTTCCAATGTCGGCATATGTCATCACAATGAGCTAGTATAACATGAGTACTCCGACAATAACCGAATATTGGTTTATTAAACTTCATTCTACATGTTTGACATGAATTCGTTTGCCATTTGGAGAGCACCTTATTGAGTCGAGTCAGCAAAAAAGCTAGAAGGTGGACACAACTCGATATCTGTTCTACCTTTTTGTAGCGTGGACCGCAAACCAAAGATTGATCTCCTGAAGACCTGCGTCAACTGCATTCCCCGCCTCCTGCCCTACGAGATGTCGCGCACCGAGTTAATCGAGTTTCTGGCTCGCGTCTCGCTCAATGTGGACGAGGAGATCCGAATGATGGCGCAGCAGACCATGGTCAACCTCATCATCGAATCCCCCGCCTATCGACAGAAAACCATCCAAGGTAGATCCAATCGCGTTGTTTTAATCATTTGTCGTCTTGGTAGAACACGATTCTGATTTTTTTGATAGTTTCGTGCCCTGGAACAGCCAAATTTGCAAGACACCACATTGACAGGACGGTGATCTTATTGTGCTGGTTCACCAACACTTAGACCGTGCTGTTGTAAACAATCCATTTGTCATTGTCAGCGATGACGCCCGAGTGCGTTTGACGTTCAACTTGTTGCCTATGTTGTGCATTTAAGCCCTCTGTATTCTCTCTTGCCCAGTGATATGGCGGTCCGCCTCAATTATGACCCTGTCTTAGTCCTCAACCAGTAGCTTTTGTGTCTATGCGAAAATGGCTAGGCACAACGTGTCATGTGTATTTGTTTTCATACGTCACGTTGAAATCGGTACTAAACTAACAGAAATGACGTCACTCATGGTTCAACTAACGCTAACAAAGGCCCTTCAAGCCGAACACAATACATTTGGCTGGGCAGCGTGCATCGCCAAAGTGCAAAAACTCCCTCTTTTGTTGTAGCTTTTATCCAGTTCATTCAAAAGTACGTCCCCGACACCTCGCCGCACCAGTTGGATAGCTGCTTGAAGACGCTTCACACACTGCTAGTGAACTGGAAAATCGCTCTTCAACGGGTCAGCTTCTATGTGGTTTTTTCGTGACTTTAAATAGCTTGTGATAGTTGCCATTTTAATTCCGAATTCCCCAACAAGATCAGAATCAAGTTCTTCTATTCCTGTGTCAAGATGCCAGCACCGCTGCATTCTAGGAAAAGTACGATGGTTGTTTTTGATCTGCCTGTTGTTATGGGCTCTGGAGACTGCGGTCGCTTGTGACATCAAACGACTACCATTTTTCGAAACTTCTTAAAAGGAGACTGCTCATTATTTGCCACCATGCTATGGTTAGGGATGATTATTTTAATCTTAAACCTGCTCTTCACCAGTTCTTTATTCATGGTATCTTCATCTATGCGATTTCGTGGTGTCTGCTTCTAGGACGCGGCCGTCACGACAAGTTTGTCGGAGAAGGTGGCTTTGGTGGAGGCGGAGGGCTTCGCGTTGGTGATGCTGTGCCAATGTAGGCCACTGGCGCGACGCCTTGCTGTTCACATCCTGCGTGAGTCCCGTGCTGTCCTCCATCTCATCAACCAAGCGGCGGCTAACTCGAGGCACGAGGACCAACAGCTGACTCTGCTTGCTGCCGCCAACGCCGGCGGCGATGTCTGCTGCATTGACATCCTCGACAGCATGGCGCCGATCATTCTCGAGCGAGTTCTTCCGCTTCTGCCGCCGCATGAGAGGGTGCGTATTTGGACGATTTGCGTGGTTCTCTTGGGGTGTTTTTTATCTCATTGTTCCACCACATCGTTCGGAATAGTCTTTGTGTTCTTGCCATGGGAAATCGAACTGTTTGCACCATCTTTACTTCTAGCATGACCTGACGAATCTGTCGACGGTTGACTTCAAGTCTCTTGCCGAGCGCTCCAGTCCTGCCTGGTTCTGCGGTCTCCGTCAGCCCTCCACGTGGAATCACAAACCTGTGGCGGTTCCTGCACCTCTTCTCATTCCGCCTTCTCCTCCCCCACATGCCGCTTCCAATCCCACGTCCACCGCAATGTCGTGTCCCCTACGGTTTGACAAAAGCCCAAAGACACCTAGTGGTTCTAATTTGCTCCAAAATGGCACAGCCGACCTTCTTTGTGGTAGAAATGTTAACGGTATGATCCCCAATACCTTTCTTGTTCATTAGTCCCATAAATCTACAGATTGATTGGAGACTAAATGCCGACTATTTTAACTCACATTGAAGAGGCCCCATTTTTTCCTGCAGAACACTCGCCAATGTCGAAAACGACTGCATCAAAAAAACATCATCTCGAAGTCTCTCCAGAAGGCAGGCGGATCCCGCCACATTCACCTCCGATGCAGCCGCCCATTAGACCCTCCGCCTTCTGCCAATCGCTCCTGTCGCCGTACATACTTCAACCGCGGTTGGAGAGGACTCAACTAACCGACGTCTGGGCGACTGCTCTGTCTGTCGCGTTGTCTACCAGGAGTCCGCTCAGCTGTCATCCAGCTATGCTGTACACTTGGAACATCGTTTTCCATCGGCTTGCACAAGTCTTCGCTCTGATCGATCCTAAGTACGTTTCCTGCCACCTTACTTTTCATTAGTAAAATCCTGTATCTCGATGCAGCTCCATCTTAAAAGACCAACATATCTTTGATTATTCCCAACTCCCCTCCCTCTCTTTCCCTCAAGTGCGCAGGCGGCTGAGAATCGGACCTCGTCGCTGCTTCGTTCAACCAGTAAGAAGGCGCCGTTAACTGAAAGGGATCAGTTGTTGCCGTTGTGGCACAACTACGTAACTCTGGCCTGCTGCATTGCACCCTCCTCCACAGGGGTCTCAGTGGTCGATCGCAAGAAACCGGGCTACGATGTCGAATCAGCTGATCTTCTCTCCGGCGCAGTGGTTGGGCGTCGCACAGCACCCAAGCACGCATCCAATTCATCTACAGGGTGAGGGTTTACGCTTTGATGCCTCCGTGCGTCCACACTGAAGCTAGTTTTATTTAATTTTCCTTTTTTTCGGTTTCCACGCAGATCAGCTGAAATTGCTCCATCGCCGAATCACGAGACCAATGCCACATCAACAGCAGAGGGCACGCCTCAGCATCCTGTTTGTGAACCCTCCGCTATGCTTAGTCCACGCCAACAACAGCATCTGGCAAACAGCAAACTGTTTATCTTCGCCAAGGAGAAGGCCAGAGACCTCGTCAAACTCATCATCACCTTGCTTCGCTGTGATAACAGCGACCTGCGGGAATCTGTCATCTGTGGCCTTAGCCGAATTCAACCTGGCGCCTTTAGGTACACGAACTCGTTGTAGGATAACCGATCTTTAAAACTACTTGCCAATCAATACCTTAATTTCTTTCTGCCTATACGTAGGGACGTGCTGGAGGACCTCCACCCCATACTTCGCGAGTCGATTGACGTAAAGCAGAAGAATGTGCAGCGTCGTCGACGCAAGGATACATTGCGCTCATCGCTTATTCGACTTCTCGCTTTGATGGCCCAAAATGCTGTCTTCCAGCATGAGTAAGTTTGCTTTGCAGACGACGGCGATGACTTTGCTTTCTTGAATTCCATATTTTAAATAGGCGACTAATTTGCTCCGTCAACTTTCGTGTTTAGTGAAGCTGGAATAACTTCAAGCCAAGGAGGCCTCCTTCCTGCTCTTGTCGACTTCATCGAAGGCACTCGTGTCTACCTGGAGTCTCTCACCGAGCCATCCGCGATAGTGGTGACTATGTTCGGCAGCAGTAGCTCCGGCACTGCTGGCTCCTCCAACGCACCTGCTGCGGTATCTATGGCGAACCAAGTGAATTCTGCAGGCATTGGTGTCGGAGCCGGTTCAGTGGGTTCGACCTCGATTTCTGGCAGCGTAACGAGTGGTGTGGTGGGTGGTGCAGTTGGTGGATCAACTGCAACCGGGGCGGGAGTTGGTGCTAATCCGCCGAACGCTTCAGGAGCTCCAACAACGCCTTCAGCATCTGCCGCCACCTCAACGGCCCCTTCGCATGCTCCCACCGGTGTGGATCCAGCTCTTCTTACGGAAATGCGCCTATACTTCTGCGTTTTTATCCGCGATTTGATCAGACATTTGCCACGTAGGTTTATCTCAAATCAACCACATGCACATCCTTTCTCAAGACGACATTGTCACAAGTTCACGAGTGTACTCGTTGTCCTTCTGTAGGTGAGCGTAGGCAGCGATTGCTCACTCCGTCCATGCGAAGAAATCTCGTCCTTCTTATTTCACGATGGAGCGGATTTTACGAACACATCCATAATTCCAGGTTTGTTTACAATCGGTCATCTTTTGATATTTCGAACATTTTACCAATACTGTTTAATGGACACTTGCTCTCGGGCAGTATCCAGCCCCTATTCCCAGCACATTGCTGATTTACTTTCGTTGCAAAAGAATGTCACCGTTTATTCCTGGAACACGTCTGGAATACCCAGTTGTTGAATTAGCTCACTGTATATTTTTAGGGACATTAAATGGAGCCAACCGCTCTGGATTGACCATCCAGAGACACCCAGTGAAGCCAAGTATCCGACCACTGCCATAGGCACGGACCAAGTCATCTCTGGCGACCTCGTTCTCTCCATCTCCGGCGTTCGTCTAGATTCGGGTTGCCAGGACCCTCTAATCTCCGCCTCTTTTCTCGACACCTCCATCTGGCTCGAGTTAATTTGGTACGCGAACCAGTCCATGGCTGCTCTAGTTTGCTGCGGTTCCATCTACGATACCTGCGCCCTTTTCAACGCACCGGCTTGTCAGTTTCCCGAGGTGTCAACAGAGTTGGCTGGGCAGCAGTCGCAGCAGCCACAGCAGTTCTCCTCGTCTGTAGTTGAGGAGGACGCTAATATGGGCACAGTGTCTAGCGCTACCGCGGCCCTGCTTTCCACGCCTGTTCTTGGTTCGCAGTCGCTGTCCGCGGTTCCCATGGCGACGCAGACCAACCCCGCCGGTTCAACCTTCCTAGGTTGCTTAAAGCATGGCGGCAAACCTGCTCCTGGGTACATCTTTCACTGGCTTATTGGACTCCTGTTGTGCAGGGACGCAAAGCTCATCATTTCGCCTTGGTTGTGGGGTCTGCCTGTTGTGAATTTCGGGGTCCCCTCGACGGTGCTGAAAGGTCCTCACGCTAAAACTGGCGTGAGGAACATTCGACTTGAGGATAATCTGCGTTCCATCGTGATCGCTGCCGTGGGCGGACGTCGTTTGGACTCGGTATGTTGTGGAAAGCCCTTTTTTCTTGGATCGGCTACGCGAGTAAAGCGGCAAAACATGTATGTTTTCCCTTTTTCCACAGCTTTTTCGTCAGCTCGGCGAGGAGACCCTGTTCCTCCTGTTGGACATGAATGCAGACCTTCCAGGCTTCCTTGATCACCTCATCGACCGATGCTACACGGGGACTTTGAATGTTACACAAGCCCTATTCGTTGTTATTACTCAGAGGTTTATCAAAAAGTAAGTCTTGCCAGTCATCCTTTCACAAACTGCGTTGCAGTTGCAGTTTTCATTTGATTTGATTCTGCACTTCTCTGATGGGTTTTGTTCTGTGAATTTACGTGCGTTAAACGAGTACTTTCTGAGTGCAATGGGATATCACTTTTTCAGTCCGCGGATGGCTTGCGACCAATTTACAATGCTGACGCTTGCCATGGTATTCAGCGAGCATTCGGTGCCTGTGATTCGAGAGCACGCCATCTTCCTGTTGCAGACGCTCTACTACCGATTCTTCCTCTCGGTATGCTCATTCCTCTTAAACATTTCACTCTTATACAGCCAAACAGGTTAGGTCTAGGACATTCCACAATTTGATCTAGGTCAACTACCTTCCGTCTGGAGAAGGGTATTGTGGTTTCTTGTCAGCTAGAATTCAGCTATGGACTTCCACGTTTTAACCGTCATTTGCGAATTGATGTTTAACGCCTTGATATTTTCTCTTGAAGCCGAGCCGGGAGCTTCACGAGCGAATTCATCCCGGTTGCAAGCGCACGGAAGGCGTCAACCTATCGTCTCTGAATGAGTCTGGAACTACGGCTCCCACATCAACACCTGCCTCCACGGTAGTGGGCGGTGCCAGCCCGGGCGCTAACAACCATGCTGAATTTTGTCTTTCGGCCCTGGCAGACGAACTCCTTTGGCGGGAGATTGGTCATTGGATGCCCTCGGACGTTATTCGACAATTTTGTGCGCAACATCCCACCTGCACCTTGCCAATGATTTCGGGTAAGTGTGTGCTCCAGCAAGGTACTTCTCTGCTCTGGCCAAAATGCTCACATTTATCTTGCCTTTCCTTTCTAGAAATTTGTCGACGTCTTGAAACTGCCTCCACCGATGTCCGATGTCGTCTACTTAAATTACTGCACTACTGGACTATCAACATTGAACTAGTTGACCTTTTCGCCCGTCCATCTGGTTTCCATGCCTTCGGCGAGACTCTTATCGAAAGTTCTTCTGGCGACGGTGGAGTTGTCGCCGCTGGGGTGGAGGATGCTTCTACCGCGGCGACCCTGGAGCCCGTCTCCTCCTCTGGTAAAACCGAAATTGGGGACAATTTGGCCACCACCACTGGGCCCAGTTCTGGCTCCGAGGAAGATGCCGGGCAAACTGAGAAAGTCGTGGTTAACAAGGGAAACGAGAGTGGTGAGAAAGGGGTTCTCTGTCCTTCACCCGCTGCATCGGAGTCTTCGTCGTCTTCTTCAACATTCAACTCTTCCTCTAATATCGATTCCAGTGATTGTGACTCTGATTTGGGCGACACTGGTGCACCGGATGGTACTGGGGTGGTGAAGAAACGTGGACATCAACAGAGACGTCCCTCGGACCAATCATATAAGCCCGAGATCAATGAGGACAAACAGAAAGTTAACGAGTTGTGGGCCAGTGTGCCCCTTACTCTCCGAAGGTCCGGTTGGGGTTCCCTTAAGGTATAGGAGTACTTCCTTCCTCTAGTCTATTTAAAGCATTTTCTTAACTGTATTCGTACTTTGTCAGGCAACGGAAATGGTACTGAATAATTTCCTATACTTGACAATCCGTTTTGGCAACAAGACAAACGAGGCTCTCGCTCTAAGTGATCTCTGGGTGCTTCTCATCCGCTACCGACCTTCTAATCTGCGCTACATCATGCGCTACCTCATTGTAGCTGCTTCACTCGCTCCGGCCACTCTCTCCTCGCATGTAAGAGATATTAGCCCAAATGCTGATCTGTGTGTGTGTATGTGATTGGAAAGCTAGTTTTCCGTGTCTGTGTTCAGTCGAACCCGAATCTGGCTCTCTCGAGCTTAACGTTTGTATCTCAGGTGAACAGAGTTGTAAACTACTTGGCGAATGAAGACCCCGGGGCTGTGGTGGATGTACTAATGACGGAGCTTCAGTCGATTGATGGTGCGGGTCTGATGATTGAGCCAGATCCCGCACCCCCCTACTTCAGAATCTCGGTTGCTTCAGATCCCAGTGGTCAGAGCTGTGGGGGCGCCAGTGGAACGTCGGGCAGCGTCGCGGTAGCCGAGAATGCCACACCCAGTGATCGTCGCCAACGTCGCGTTGATGGAGGCCACCTGCCCGACTTAATAACTTTCAGCCAACGCGACGACGAGGTCTACGGCCTCTTTAGGGACAGGGAGCTCTGTGGTAACCAGCGAAAGAGTATGTTTGTTGAAAGCAACTTGTGAGTTCTCCCCAAATTCGTGTTTTCCTCCTTTACTGTTCAAAACGAATTAAATGTTATGCCGGTCTCTTGATCACAGAAGCCAAGGAATCGCAGTTGCATCTAAGGGACGACCCCGATCAGCTTGTGGCGGTCCGGAACAAAATGGGGCTGACGGTGATGCCGCGTCACCGAAGATAGGTGAACCCTCCAGTACCGCGATCGTCCCCGCCTCCTCTTCCTCCGCCATCTCCCGTTTAACCAATCGATTCGCCAGCAGTGCCACCGCCATGGGTCGACGCGCTCTGAGAACGGCTCTCCATGGTGGTGGAAGGCAGACCAAAGTCTCCACCGCACATGACCAAGAACAACTTCAAGAAATCGATGTCGATTCTCTCGATGGTTAGTTGAGTCTGCTATTGCTCTGAGATAACTCCAATACACTGAGTGGATTTCGCTTATCCTTCACGACACAGCCACGTTGAAACGATTGCTTCAACACTTTGATTCTATTAATCTGTCATAGAATGGACTCTTCATTCAGAATTGAAAAGTTCATTCAATTCCTGCGTTTTCAGCAAGAATGGTTTCCGTTCTTTGAACCATCGTATGTTTCCACCATCCTTGTCCAGTTCTCTGGACATTCGTGTTATTCTAATAACCTGGTTTCTGCTAGTTGATTCTGTAACTACGGTTGTAGAATCCGTGAAACTTTCTAGCACACCCCTAATCGAATCACGTTCATTTGTTTTGAGGTCGCATCTCTACCTTTCAGAGACTACTGTCTTTAACGAAGACGAATCGTCTGTACTCAGGACAGCCGCAGATACTATGCCACAATCGCAGAACTATTCAACCGAGGCTGTTATTACTGCACGTAGCCAAACTCTGCCCTACACGGCGGCGTCGCGTGAACGCTACAATAAACAGGCAGTTGTGGGAATGGATGGAACCCCCTTGAATCGTCCCAGCCGTCTGCGGAAAATTCTCTCGCGTCGTCGCACTATTACTGGTGAAAAGGAGGCGAGAAGCAGTGGCGGTCGCAGGAACCCATTCCGTTCAATATTTCGCAGTGCGGGTATCGGAGGTGGATCCAAGGCCTCCCAGGCTCTACCAGCCTCGTCCAGCAGCACACGACTCTACACAACGTCTCTGCCGCCGAATCTAGCCACCCTCCAACCTCTTCCGCTGCCTCTCCACTCGCACTCCATCTCAAACATCAACGATTATCGCAAGAAACGCGCTTCGAGGCGCAAGCGAACACCTTCGCGTGGACGCCATCTTCGTGTGGAAGCGCCTCTGTTGGCGACGAGTCTGCTCTTGCAGCAGCCGCTGCCCATGCCGAATAAGGCCAGTGTCTACCATGCGCCGATGCGCGACTGGTTCACCGAACCGTTCGTCACCAATGCGTCGCTCGTGTTTAGTGGGATGTGGTCCCCAACCGGCGCCAGGTCACCGCTTGTCCTTGTGCTTGTGGGAGAAATTCTAAAATCACACAATAAACACCGGGTCGACTGGCGGCGTCACATGCCTCTTCTTTTACTCTGCCTCTTTCTGGGTAAGTCACATTAACTAACTTATCCTCGACCAACTTTCGTCAATCGCTTGCCATTGACCATCCGCGTCGATGTCGGAGTGAAAAGAGATTGTGCGTGTATCTTTTTGATGCAGGTTTGGACCACTGTCGGCCGCTTGTTCAGGAGGAAAGTAAGAAGCTCTTGGTAAACATGCTGCGTGTTACCTGTCCTCGAATCGACCTGCTTCGTCTGTTGTCCCTCAAGCTGGAAATCGACCTGCATTCCGTCTCTCGAGCCATGGCCGGTTTCACCTCCCGCAGTCCCCAATTCTGCCTCACCATCGACGATGGACCCTGCGTCGTATGTTACTCCTGGTCTTAATACCCCCAGATGCTGGCATCCTTAGTTGGTCTCTGTGTCTGCGTCCGTGACTAATGATAATTAAGTGCGCTTAGTCGGCTTAATGTGTAGTTTGCTGAACTACCCATCCCATTTCACACCTCTTAAAGAATCAAAAGCAGGGATGTGTGTTGAAGCGGTGGTAATTCCGATTCCTTGCCTTGTTTACAGCCTAAATTCAGTCTGGCTACCCCGACAGATGATCCACTTTGCGAGGTGTCTACGTGTCCAACATGGGCGTCCTGTTGCTCCACAGAGTCCTACTTTCCTCCAAATGCCGCAGCTGGAGGCGGGCAGCCAACAGTTGTTCCCTCGGCTGGCCTAGCGCACTTCTCCCACTCGTCGTCAGGTACTCCTCCGGGTGGTATTTCGCCCATGACGGAAGCTCCGGCTGGGTCTGCAGTGGCGATGACTCGTTCGCTCATCGTAGCCCCACAGTCACATAACCGGCCAAGTTACGCGTTCGGGTCCACCTACAGTCTAATGAGCACTGCCACACTGATTCCCGCGGGTCTTACTGACCAAGAACAGAAGCGCAGATCGATTATTGACCCTTCGACGACTGCGCAAATGATTCATGAAAACACGGAGGCACAATTCCTCCGTAACACCTCCAGTGACCATTTACCTCTGCAGAGCAATGCTACTACTGCGGCAGCAATGGGAACTGCTGTGGAGAAGTCTCCAGTGATGACGGCGTTTGACCAAATGGTCGTAGCTACAGCTCCTCACGATTGCGAAGCTAGGCATCTTCATCAGGTGTCTGAAAGGCTCAAGCAATTGTTGATTGAAGTGTAGGTTGTATCCATTTTGTAGCTTGATCACACGGTAATTTCTACAGCGATCCTGACGTCAGATTCGATTCTACCGAGTTCTTTAAGAAGCAGTTTGGAATCGTCTGTCTTATTCGTCATGTATTTCCGACTCAAATCCATTTCAGCTATCTTATTAGTGAAACCATTCTTGGTCTTGCATCATAGTCAAGATCGGTCAGTTTGGTACTGGGAGGACATTTCAACAGCGCGATTCCAGCAAGCCACCCTAGCGTCTCTTCGCTCGAGTTCATTCATTTCAACCTCCGCCAATGGATCATCGTCGTCATCGCCACCGCCGCCTCATCGAGAGAGCCTCATTCTCTTGCGATCAGCCCGATTCCTCGATCGCTTCGTCCGATGCGTCGTCGAGGCATTTGCTGAGGCCGAGTGTGACGGGAGGTGCGCAGAAGCGGTAGTCTGCCTCCAGTGCCACCACGGACCCCCGCACCAACACTCCTCCGTCGCCTTCTTCGACTGCACCGTCACACGCTTCGCGCAGGCCGCCTTCAACATGGGCATAACGTGCCCGAACCGGCACTATGCCAGTCGCTCGTTGCAAATCTATCGGGCGCTGGAAGCACAGCTGGACGAAAAGAGCTTGTCCGAGGTTCTTGTGCGATTAGTCGAGTCCATCTCCGACTCAAATGAGGAAGTTCAGGTGAGTTACTTTAGAAGCAAGCTATCACAAAACCGTGATGTTTTTGGTCAAGTCGAGTGCGCTTATTTTAGGGTTACACGGTGGAACTGTTCCTTACGTTGGAGGCAGCGGTGGAGCACATCCAATTTCGCGGAACCGTGCTTCCCATCAGCGTCCACCCGAATGCCACCGCTAGTCAGTCTGGCCGGGTCGGTTTTACCCGGCCTTCCACTGTTGTGCCGCCTTCTGATTCTCCTCGTCTTGTATCGTCTCTTAATCGTCGTAACTCCATCGAAGGTAAGTTATGAGTCCTTTTATCTCTGCACCCGCTTTTTAGGTGATTATATTGGAGTTTTTCCGAAACTCTAGAAGTGCCAGTCGCTGGGAAGCCTCCGACTCCACCCACGGCGATGACTTCATCGAATTACCAACCAACCCCGCCCATGGTGCATGAACGACGCCATTCGCGTCGCAGTTCAGCGTCTTCCCTTTCCAATCTCATCGGGGTGTCAGTCGGAGCGCCATCGTTGCGACCGAGCAGTCAATACGGCGGCAGCACTGCCAGTCTAGGCAGCCCGCATCCCGGTGCAGTGCCTCCAATCAAACGCCCTCTGATGCCACCTCATGTAGAGGCCGCCAGTGAAGACGCCGACACTTTGAATGCGGTCACAGCACCAATCATCCCTCATTCCAGCCCACTGAAACCCACACTGGCTGCAATCGGTGTTAAAACTCTCTCACCTAGCAAGCCTACTGCTTCAAGCGATGCGAGGTAAGTTCAGTTGCTTCTTCCTCGTAGTTTCTGCCTCGTTGCAACGCTTCTCTCCTCATCAATTTTAGGTCCAGTTCTGTCGAAGCTTCGGCGCCATCCTCAGCCACCGGGACCTGTCGACTAGCGCCGGAGGAGCAGGCCGACCTCCTGGCTGGCATCTTCTGGATCGGTGTTTGTCTTCTGGACTCGGATTTTGAGTACGAGTATCTGGCGGGTGTTCGGCTTCTCTCTCGTCTCCTGCCCTCCGTGTGTATGTCACCAACTCCGGCTTCGGGAAATCGCAAGTGGACTCCACAACAGCAGCAGCAACTTCACCCCGACCTCCACGAGCATGTCACGAAGATTTTGAACCGTCTTAAATGGACCACGCTGTCGGGTACCGACGATAATGAATACCCCGGTTTACTCAGTCTCCTTGTAAAGGCGCGTTGTAAATTTGTTATCTCACATTATTAGACTTGGGCTCCCTACTGATTTTCGATGTGTGATTTTGCAATTATCCAATTTTAGGGCTGTTCTTCTACAAACTTGATCGATCCAGCTTGTCGTCTACTCGTGCAAATCACCCCAATCGTCAAGTCGCCCATCATCGATCCGAATGGCGCTACGGGTGAGCTGCGTCTCTACCGTCGAGCTACGAACACACGAGGTGGCAGTGTCGGTGGTGGTAACTGCAACACCTATCCCGGCAGCCTTCCCACGCTCATTATTACTCTTCTTCCGATGCTTCTCATGTCGTGGGACGAGGATCCGGAGAGCTCTGCTCTTACGCACGAGACGATAACCACGACGGAAGCAGCTGATTGGCCCGTTGCGTCGGGTTGCTCAGAGGTTGCCAGCAGCCCCGCCGTGGTGTCACCCTCTCCTGTCGGGTCGTGGACGCATCGCGGCGGTGGCGAAGGGTCGGTGCCACCGCCGCCTCCTTCCAGCGGTCTCTTGTCCCTCGTCACCGCCACCATTGTGTCCGGCGCTGTAGCCAAGAAAGCACCTCAGCTCCGACCCAGAAATCCCATCTGCATTCTGGTACGATTCTTTCGATTGCTTCGGCGTTCTTAGCACGCTAAATCGCAAGTGGTTTAATAAGGATTTATTTTTGTGTCATGCTCTATTCGCGATGGGTCTGCTATGAACATAATCACATCTGAGATCAGCCAGAGATCGGGCTATTTTAACCTACTCTTTGTTATGTGGTTTGAAGTAGATGCGCGTTCTTTAAGCGTCAATAGTGTTGACGCAGAGAAGATCGAAAGCTCAGATGGTTATGAGGTATGTAAGATTCATTCTACCTTCAATCCATAGGCAACCGAAACAGGAATAATGGTTAGTTACAACAGGTGTATTATGTTGTGGTTACTAATAGGTGTTAGATCAATGTAATGCCAAGTGTTAAGCAAGCTGCAATAAATTTATCTACCGGTTTAATATCGGTAAAATTCCGGGCATATCCTTCTAACGTTGTGAGGTTGAACTGCTTACAGTAAGGCAAAATGTGGATTGGCTGTAAATCCTCATTGATTGAGCGTTCTGTATTTCTGCTCCACTTTTTTGAAAATGTTTCAGAATGGTCTGCCATTGAAAGCCGCAGATTTGGCCAAAAGAACATTTCGCGACAACAAGGCTAAATCACACTCCCGGGGTGAAATTGGGTGCAAATTGGCTGATCTTAATCCATTGCCGTAACCGTGCCTTTTTTCGCCTCAACGGTATTAGGTCATTAATTAAAATTGCACATGATTGGTTATTTTACAGGCAAAATGGACACAACAGATTCGTTTTAAGTCTGGGCGCCTAATCACCTGGTTGTGCATGATCCCTTACCCTTGTTGCGTCGCCGATTGGCCATTTCATAGTGCTTTTCACCAGACATGGTTGGTTTGTCTTTATAGGCCGCGGAGAACCTGGCCGAATTGGCTCTTCAAACAGATGGCTATCGGTTCACGAACCTCGCCGTCGTACTTCGGCTTTACGCCACTGGAAGTTTCTCCAAGGACGTTAACCAGTGGGCCAAGTGCGTGACGCGCTACCTAATGGACGGCTGTGGTGGTTTGGGCGCTCGCATTCTCTCCTTCCTCACAGCGGTTAGTTGTGCCTTTTAAATACGCCCCCTAGACAAGACCCCCTTCCTATTGGTCCGTAAACTTTCAAGCTAGTCCTACCAACCAGTGACATTGTCAAACACTCCCGCTTTGATTCTGTTTAAACGCGATTGCCTCATCCCTTATTTTCATTCTATCTTGTAGTTTTTAACACTCGGACCGCCTTGCGTGCATCTTCCGCTGCTGCATTTCGCCTATTGGTTCCTTCAGACGGTGGAGCTGAATCAAGCTGACATGTGCAGCCGTATTCGCGTCTTCATTAAGGCTACTTCGGAGCGCTTTGTTAATGTAAGTTCTGGTGGAAAACTCGCTTCCCAGTAATCACACGAAGTTATATTATCTCCGGAAGTTATTGGTTCAACTATAACCCCATTTGATTGATTGATTGATTGATTGATGAGTTACCTGTCCTCAAAAATAAATCAATCGCCGTGACTAATCATCAAGTTCTGGTCCTATCTCTGTGGTTACATATTGGACAACTGTTCAATCTGTTTAGACGCCGTTATGGCCTGAGGTAACACTACTCTACCAAGTCGTAGTATCGCGTTCAGCAACCCTGACTGCGGCACCAGCCAACCAAAATGTCTACACCCTGCCCGGCCTTGACCCCTCTGGCAGCGGACGCGTCCTCGATAGTCTGGCCGCTGCAGCGGCAGCCGCTGTACCTCTGCCTGAAGCGGAGCCCCAACGCATTGCCCTCGCAGGCCGGGTCCTGGAGTTTGACACCAGTGTACTCCAGTCGGCGCCGTTGATTGGTGGAGGCAGGGGACAGGCGTCGCCGTGTCTAACCACTCAGCACCGATCGCCCGCACGAACCAACCACCTGGTGGAGACCATTTTACTCGACTCAGGCAAATCGTTTTTCAGGGTCGGGGCCTGGAAGACCCCGTGGAACCGACAGGTGTGTGTGCTTTGAACGTCGCAACGCGTATGCTAGCACTTTGACCAATATTGCGGACCTTCTTCTTCCCTTAGGCACGGATGCGTGGACTTTTCACCAACCTCTTGAACTGCTACGGGTCCCAACTGGATCATCTTGCAGCTCCACGGAGTCCGTCGGTAAGTCCTCATCAAGTTCCATCGTGCGTTTGTGCGTGTGTGTGTGTGTGTCATCAGCATTCTCCCAATCAATGAGGATGCACTTTACTCCCGTTCTCTCTTTCTCTCCATCCAATGTAGAATTCATCAAGACAAAAGGTAAGTTACTCGCGAAAGGCAATGCACAATTTCCCCACCCCTTCCTTCTTACCCTCCTCCTCTCGACGCGCACAAACACGCAAAAAAGTCGAAGTGATGAATCCAACCGCGAAATGCCATTTGTGCATTGCTAGCGTGTGCTCTTGCTGGGCAAAACTGATCTCTTAATGGTCTCCGCCGTTTTACACACTTGCTGTTAGGTTTCGACATCAACTCAACCGGTTTACTTGGGGAAATACGAGACACTGATGTCATTGCAGCAGCCTGATGTGCCCTGTACTTGTAAATCCACGCTGAGAAAGGAAAGTGCTTCAGCCATTTCCCTTCGGCTGTACCGCCTCTGATGCTGCTAAAGTTTGTAGCTTTTCTGGTCAGGCGTTTCGCCGATCACCTTAAACAGGTGGATTCCAAGTCCGTTTACACTTTTACGCAAACAAAATGCTCACTAGCCCTGATGTTCTGTGCTTGTGCCAATTGAAAACCTCCTGTGTGTAGGGTTCAAAGGTTGACGGTTACTGCGTCACCTCTTTCAGTAGCGAAAATCTCATGAATCGTTTATTTTGGCTACCTCTACACGCCTAATATTAAATTTCTTAAGACGGAAAACCCTCTATGGTAAAAATTTATGAATGCTGGAAGTTTTAGTGAAAAATGCCAATTTTAACGTTGTAACCGTCGTTGTTTCGACCCACTGAGCTACGTTACACCTACTCTGGACTACCGTACTTGTCATTGTACTGGAACGCGGTGACATGATAGTTCATTTAGCATCCTCGAGGCTCTCAAATACGACCGGATTTTCTTATTTCCCGAAATCGTGGACGTTTCTTAAACGACTGTGTCACACGTGTTCGCAGCGTGGGAACTTCCAAAACAGACTGCGTCGCACGTTCACCACCACCTGTGTGTATAAGTCCAGAAGTCTGCTTCATTGGCGAAATCAGATAGCCCGCATTGAGGGCTTCGGATGTCGGTCACTTCTAGTAGTCCTGTTGTGGTCTTACCTTGTAACCCTTCGTTGTTTATGTTGTCGTTATTCCTTTGGGTTGGGGTTTAAGCCTTTTCCATTTAGTTATACGTTTATCGATGCGCTCACGATAACCCACTTAGGAAGAAATCGACTTGCCAGCATCTCTTGGGCAAACTGTCAAATCTTTCACCCAGACTCCTAGCTTTGTACCTGTTTCCACGGTGAAGAACGATTAGACTTCCTTGAGATGCCATAGAAATGTTTTATTTTGCTGTTGTCTTCAGTGGTTTGTGGTTTATTTGGGTTTTTTGGCTTTACGCGCTGTTGTTGGAGTTTGAAGTTCACCGACTGTAGTTGATGGTTCCTCGCGTTCTAGTCCCTCTCTCTCTCTCTCCCCGTCACAGGTGATATTCAGTCAGTCGACGGAGACCCTCGACCGCCAGTTGAGCCTGCATTCCAGCAGCGAAACCACCTCCATCAACGACGCCAGCAACCCAGGTAAGTTTGGGCAGCGTTTTTTCCACATTCGTCATTTTATGCAGTGTCAATTTTTTGTCATTTTTGACATCTTTTTCTTAGCGTCTTCAGATGAAGGTAGTTCCGCTCTTGATAGCATGCGTGTTATGCACAGCACCGATTTTGAACCTGATTTTTCCAACTATTCACCTTCCCTCGTTACTTGGATAGATTTTTACCCTTTCTTATAAATGCTATGTTTGTAGATTTGACTGAAATTGGCTTTTCCATGGCTATATGCCTCCCTCAGACGTGTTTCGTATTCGAAAAGCTGTTACAGCAACCTGTTGTGCTAATTCAAGACATAAAGTCTAGCAGTTTTCGTATTCACTTCTACCACTCTAGTTTGGTCGTTGTGCTCCACATTGCCAGTGTTTCCTTTGCACTTTAACCTTTCACGTTAGCAAAGTAAAAAATTGGAGAGTGAACGGTTGAGGAGATTCGTTTAGCGGGGAAAATAAAATGACCTTGACACCAGCCATTAAATTCTCCTCACGCATAGAACACAGATTTCCCATTGGAGAAGGTTTAACCACTCGTGTTTTGTTTTCATTGCCTGCCTAGATGATGGACACTTCGACGATACCAGCAGTGCTGAGCGAGCAGCTGTCTTCCACGACCTGGACACTTACCTCGATGCGCAATTAATGAATATCAACTTCCTTGATCTACCTGACGGAACATGGGTAATTCAATGTTGAGTGTTATAGTTGTCGCACAATCCGTGCGGGTTAACCTCAATTTCCAGCAGCCCTTCAACTCATGCGTTTTCTCGGCTTTTCAGGAGGATCAGACACGATGTCCTTGGGGAGTGAGGGGTCATTCGATCACCTCGCACGCCGAGTTTCACGAGGAGGGAGGCGATCAACAGCAACAGCAACCCGAAGGCTCCGCCGGTGAAAGCATGGGCGGCGGTGGCTGCGGCGTCGACGGCGGTGCCCTCCCGCTGACCTCGGAACTCACCGTCGTCACGGAACCCATCAATGCGGCATCCGTCAACCTCGGTCCTCTCTCTTACTCGCCCAAGCCCACTGGCGACGTCCTTACGACATCCAACGCAGCGGTGGCTGGACGCCAGTCCCAACTCTCGATGCAGCTCTCGTCCGCTTCTTCGTGCGCCAGCGGAACTGGAAATGTCACCCTTCTTGCTCCGATGACGTCTAATCGACCGTTCTCTTCACAACTACTCGTCGCCTGGCGATCTCGAGGCACCAGTCCGACTAGATGGCTACCTGACGGACCTTCATCAACCATCTCCTCTTCTAATGTCAGTCCTCCATTGTTGAGCCGCCAAGATGGAGTCCCAAGTATGTTTTTCTATTACATTGCTGATTTCGGGCACTTTCTGCTTCTAATTACCATGTTTCTACTGTTTTTAGTCAGCCGAAAGCGCACCCTTTCAGTTCAACCACCGCCAGTTAGTCCTCGGAAACGGCTTCAGGACCGCGCTATGCTCGGTGGGTCGTTGGATTCGCTACCGAACCAAAGCGACATCCAGTTCACCCCCGTGTTCAAAAGCAAACCCATTTTGACACCAACCAAAGCGCCTGTGCCTTTGTCATCTGCGGGCTCCTCCATCAGCTGCTCTTCCCTCAACGAGCAGGAGGTTGTCTTAATGCCGGTCCCGCCAATGCCTTCCCCTCCTCCAGCAAAACCGCCTAGGAAGCGAAGGCACTCACGCGGGAGCTTCGAGTTGAGTGTGCGTGACCCTCCACCCGTCCCGTTGCGACTTTCGCGAAGCAGCCACATGATTCCGCAAGCCTTGGGCAGCGGCGGCGGTGGCGGTGGTGGTGGCGGTTTCACATCTTCGTCTTCCGTGGAAGTCGCTGTAGACTCTAAGCAGTTACTAACACCGGTGAGGCCTCTGTAGTTTGATCCCTATTTCGGCATCGTATTCACCGCAGCTTACATTGATGCATTAAAGGCGCGTTGTAGTTGATTAGGTAACACTTTTTGCTTGTCTAGAGCCCTTCGGAGACGGGGTGGGTTGCATGCATGCGCCACCTCAAATCAACCCAGTGGAAGGCGGCGGAGGGTGCGCGTCTGACTGGCGCGCGGTGCGATCGACTGCGACTGGTCTTGACGGGCGTGCGAGCGACCTTCGCGGGCATGCTGCGACGCTCCGCCGTCCAAGCCGTGCAATTCGCCAACACCGCCTTCTGTAAATGCCCCCCAAGCAGCGATCTGGACTCCGAGATTCGCATTTCAAACCTTGGTGTGTTGTTTTGTACAAGTGATATCGCGAACATTGTGCTTACTCGATGAGGCATGATTTTAACATGAAACCGAATTGCATTTAGTAAACTCCGTTTCGGAGATGTTTCACTTAAAGTTGGCCAACATCGTTCTTTCTGGTGATGACCTAATCAAATCTACTATTTTGCGTTGGATTGTTGCAGAAAATTTCGTTGATTTGCATCACAAGTGTAGCGGTATTGGCTCGGTTTTAAGCAGTCAAAAGATATTCACACCTTGTTTTTATTTGCAGCCACAATCGCAGAATTCATGCAAGACGTCCTACCCGTTTCCTTTTTCGCTATCCACCCCGACACCGTACGTTTTAGTTTATAACTTGTTGCTTTTTTTCAAGCACCACTGTTTTTGGCCAAAAACTTGTAATTGCCGTGTTCACTTTTTGTGCCTGTAACTACGTTAAAAGGCCCCCATCAATGGCGACTTGTTCGATTACAAGAGAGAAAGAGTCTTTCAAATACCCTGATGCACTCCTTTTATCTAAGGTTTATTTGCTGGACGATAAATTGGTGAGGCTTTGCCTGCGACTGGGCGATGTTTACCAACAGTGGGAGGACTCGCTCCATCGGCTCTCGTCGGTACGTGCTTTGCCTCCTCTTGATAATCATTCACTCGGAAACGTCTCGTTCCGCCAACGTTACTGTTTTCGCCCTTTAGACCTGCACTTCTTCCGAGGCAGCGGGTGGCCGTCAGGTGCGTTTTGTGTATTTGAATTTACCGCAACCGGTTGTGCAATTTCATTGGTTGTCGCTTGCACCGATCGTATTGACTGGTGGTAGCATTAATCGCTTGCACGCTCCTACAGCACGAGATCATTTGCCGGGACCTGCAGAGTGTCCTCCTCCTCGTCATCACCTTCTTTCGACTTGGTGTTGAGGTCATCACCGGCGTGCGGACCCACCTCGCAGACCTGCACATCCTCGAGATCTCCGACTGCTCCGAAACCCTCGAGACGCTGTTCGAGTGTTTGAAGCCCCATATCGGCACGGTGATCCAGCCCACCGAGGCCGCGCGCAGCAGGGCGTCCAACGACTTGGATGCCTGGAAGCCCCAGTGCTTTGAAATCTTGCACGTAGGACCCGACAAAGTCAAGTTGCTGAGTGTCGAAGAGACAAGGCGTGCTCTGGCCGTCTACACAGCCGCCATGAAGTCCTCCTCACCGTAAGTTTCTGATGAACAACGCCAAGCCTAGACACTCCTAATGCAACCAAATTGAGCGATGTAAGTGCATACCAAGTACCATTTTGGAAAGACTCGTTCCCTGGTTTCCCTGACTGTCGTTTTTGACGCAGTGGTCTTGAGGTATACTTCACTTTGTAGTATTACAATGGAGGATGTCATGGCAATTTTGGAAGCCTACTGTGATCAGTTGTGGACGAACCTAGATTCAGGTGAGATTAAGTTTTTGAAGTATATTCATAGGTTAAAACTTTACTTCCAACCTTTTCCCTAAGGTGATTCGTGGTAGAGCAGAGCTGTGAGAACAGAACAGACAAAAGAGTGACCTATAGAAAGTGACTCCACTTAAACAACTCTCCCACAACGACCGCCTTGAGTTAATGTACTTTTAGCTATCCAAGATCCGTAGCCCACTTAATTCAGTAGCACTAGAATCGCGACCCGCACAAGTCAATGATTTCGCTGGTTAATTGTTCCTTGTCCGGCCATGTGCCCACAGGCGTTGCCGTTGTGTTTGCGCGTTCCCCGAATTCGGGTGTGAAACGATTCGAGGCGTTCACCTCCTTCACGACCCCAACTACCTCAGCGTCGTCGTCCTTCTTCACGACCGACGACTTTCTCCACCCCGACAGTCGAGAGCCACTGCCTCCGTTGCAACTCGCCGCGCAACTTCAACGCCTCCTGCAATCTTGACACCGCTGAGTGATATTTTCTATGTGTATTCCTGCTCCTATCCAGATTGTTTAAAGCAGATTCCCTTGTTAGTGTGTCGTCTTTCTTTGTTTGCAAGGACCACCAGTGGTATGGCAGTGTAGTTAGATTCGAGGCAAGCGCACTTGTGTATTTGAATCAATTGGTAATGCTACACTATTTATCCATATTCAATGACAAGCGGAGTTTAGCGATCTGGTCGTCTAGAGCTGCGAGTCCTTTTCTGAATTGAAGCATGTCAATGGTTTTGAGAGAACTGGTGGACGTCATCGACGATGGCGACCCTTTCTGCCCAGTGAGTTCCTGGAAAAGAAAAAACAGGGGATTAGCCTCTTTTGGGAAGTACACATTTACTCCATAACCGATTGCGGTTTCGGCAGAATATTTCAAGACCTACAAACTTACCGTGGGAGGGTGGCGTCGTGGTTTCACTGATGAGATGCTCGTTACATCGTCGTCATCAAGACCTTCGAAGAGAGCTACCTAGAAGTCGGTTCATAATTCTAATGGCAACAGGGACTTACATTTGGCGTTAGAGTTACATCGGCACCTTGCGTTTGCGGCTGCCGGAGGGCTGGCACGTGTGGTCTGGTGAAGGAAGCGGGAGGGTTGACACAAGTTAGTCAAGTTGGCGTGTAAGTGCACGCCTAAGTTGTGTACCTTCTCTAATTATGTACAGGGACTTACTGCGGTGTCACGGATTCTGGAAGGGGAGTATTCCTCACGACGCAGGTCCCTAGGCCAGCGTGGAGAGAGGAGTATAACTCTTGACAGGACGTTTGAGATAGCTTCGTGAGGACCGTCTGCACCTGGTATCCAAGGGAGGCTATCTGGGCGTCCTTTTGTTCAATCTGCTGCTTTAAGCTGGCATTTTCGGTGACAATTACCTTCAACTGCTCCACCATCGCATCCAAGTTACTCTGTGCAAGAAACGCACTTGTAGATTTAAACGCGAAATTTTATTAATCATACGTTTCAATTCAAAGAATTTAATAATGGAAGGCGGGCGGGGTGTGTGTTAAGATGCCCTAGTACTTCCGGAATTAAAACGAGTTGAAGTCAAGAATGATGATTGCCATACTACTCAGGCGATTTAGGTAGCGGCGCGGTTGCCTTCAAGCCCTGTAATCTCATTGTTCCCAAGCATGTACTTTCCCTGATATAAGTGAGCAGTAAAGAGATTTTTAAGGTCATGGCAAGCTAATTCCCTACCGTATAAGCCAACTCTTTTCTTTTCATCTCAAGTCGTTTCTGTTCGAATTCGGCCCGCTGCCGACATAGCTTCACTTGGATGTCTCTTAGTTGTGCCTCGAGATCATGTCGAGGTGCCTTGATGGCTTCAGTTTGGATATTTTTCTAAAAAATGTTATCGATTAAACCCGTTAAGAGGTACAATTTGGGGACCACGTTTTCCATCTTCATCGCGATTCGAATTGAGGGTGTGCAAGGAGGGCGTAGAGGTGGAGAAGGCAGTGCCCACTAAGCCGGGCGAGTCTGTCAACAGATCTTCTGTGAGGTACATTCCGGTAGTTGATGATCCTCCCCTGTCTACATCTGAGTTAAAAAAACGATTCACCGTCAGAGAAACTTGGCCCTTTGCACTCAGAAATTATATGGTTCAATAACAGAACTGTACCTCGATTTAGTTGAATGTCTCCAGCCACATCTTTCGTGCTGTAAAGTTCCAGTGTAAAAGAAATAATTTTTTTCTTAAGGCGTTGATCAATTCTTTTAAAAGATCCTTTCATTTTTACTTACACTGGTCTGCACTGTACACCGACATCTACGTTGCAACCAAAGGAAGCATGAACTGATCTTTTCATCGTAGATGTTTGGCACCCCCTACTCGACTTTCTAGTAACCGGTGGCGTTGTATTGTCGCAATACGCAGAAATAGTCCGTTCCTTTAATGTACTTTTAAGAATACGGGCAGCAGTTTCTTCTGCGTCTCTTGCTAGATTCTCCAAGTCGGCATCTCCTTTTAGGTAAAACACATGCATTAAAATAATTTTAATTTAAACGTAATGAGGAGCAAATACAAATTACTTACTAAGAAGTATGGCAACTGACTTAATGCGCTGCAGAAGCATACCAAAATCGACGGAATCCTGAATCTTGTCGTCTGTGGAGCAATAATTTTCCAGAGGTTCGGGTAATCGAGACAATAGTTTAGTCGTTACGGGTTTCCGCCTCTAATCAACACGTAAAATTTCACTGCGTAAGTTGCGACAAGGTGTCGAAGAATAAGCTGATAATAATGGTGGTGTGTTGTAACCGATAAATTTGGATTTAATTCTAAGATGAAGCTAAGTCATTTCAAGGCAATGCTTGTTTATCTATCAGAAACTAATTTTGCCGTCTAAGATTACCAGTAAAGAATATTTTACCTTGCTTGAAATGCCCTGACTTTTTGAACAGCCGTCACCGTTCACTTTGGTTGAGTCTACTTTATCACATCCTAGATCTCCTGAAATTTAGCAATTAACATTCTTTCTTTATGGGCTTACCGGAAATATTCTGATAAATATTTTGGATAATATCTTCGCTAGCAATCAAATCTTTGAGGAATCGAGCACAGTCGGTTCGAATACTAGAGCTTAAAACACATTTCCTTGTTGGGAGTTTTCGAGCTCGAAGTGCACGTGAGGAAGCTGGCTTTTTTGGTTCCGGTTTCATATCTAATATTTGAAAAATAAATGCAAGCAAAGATTTTCTAACTGGACGTCCCACTAAATGCAGGGAGAAAATACATTTTTGCATTTTGGAAAATCGACCAAAACACAAAATGTCACATTTACAAAATAGATTGCGTAAAAGCGACAAAATTACTCAAAAAAAAACTATGACTAGAACACGATATTGTAAAATCACAGCTTGTTTATTATACACCAGGTCTACAACTGGAATGCAAATGGTTAAAAACATTTACTTATTACTTTTAATGTAACAAAACGCGATTATTGGCATATGACGTGCATAAAGAAAAAACATTAAGAAAAATACGTTTAATTAGTGATCAAAGAAAACGCGCCAGTACAAGCTAAACACAGTCAAGCCATAAAAACAAGCTGCGACCTTGAAATTTTATGTGAAATGATCAAAGATTAGCAACAAAGTTTAAATCGTTTATTGCTTAAAATATTTGTGCTCTAAGATAGCAATATACTAGGCAAGTTCTTTTTTTCGAAAACAGTCAGCATAATCTTGAATGTAGTGTTAAGATCCTCCTGAAACCAAATCGTTACTGGATTGTGTATTTCATTTATGCGTAATAAATGCAAGAAGATACACGCCTTCATAGTTTTTCTAAATCAACAGATACTTTATTACTTACATACAATTATCACAAAAATATTTGATCAATACTTTAAAAAAAAATATCTGTCACTGACTTCTAGCATTGTTAGTAGAAGTAGCGTCTGGCGTTATTATTTAGGTTATCTCTTTATTAAGTCATAAGTGTTGGGTTCTCTGTATAAATGTATAGTAAACTGCTTAGGTGACCGTTTTTCTCTGGTGCTTGATGGAGGCTCTTCGTCCAAAAATTATTTGAAGTAAAGGGACATGCAAATTTGAATACACATACCGCTTTGACAGAAGTTACTTGGCATCGATACAAATACTGCTTCTATCAAATAATGGGAATAAATTTACTGAATGGCTGAATATCGATTGACTATCTGAGCGACCTATATTGTCTGGAATTACCTCGAAAACAGAAAAAATGTGGCAATAGTTAAAACGTATGAAGAGCATCAAAGCAGGCCAGTGAGCCAAGCTCAAATTCGAACCCCAATTTGGAGTTTAAGTACAACTCCATTCGTCACAGTGCATCCATACTCTCTCTTTCAATCAGATATTTCTTCAAAAGTTATAATTGCAGCTCTTGCGTGTAATGCAATTCGTTATATTTTGCAGACTTATTTCTGATGCATTCCTTACTGAAATGTGATGTATCCAATGGCGATTTTAATGATATTTGACAGAAAATTTACCTCTGAACCTTTTCAATGATTATTTTTTAAAGCACAAAATTCATACTCGATTTCCTTGAGTTTATTTGTAATTATGGTAAACATTTATTGCCACTCTTTCCGATTCTTTACTGGGATCTGCACCTTCCCCTAGGAGTCTTTTTCGAGACAATAAAATTGTGACCCATTTAAATTCTGACTGAATTTTGAAGTTTTTATTTTTACGAACGATTACTCTTTGGTTGTCACAGCAGGGTACTGCATATTTTAAACAACAGGAGTGTAGTGAATCGTGTTGGTTCACATCCAACAACCCGGTCGTCACAGCCTCACACACACTCCCCCCTTTCACGTCGTCCACGTCAGTCAATGGGACCGCCTCCTCATTAACACCTCTGTGTGTTCCACCACCACCCCCGTTATCCATGTGACCCTTCAGACGTCTGTACTTCTACTAATCCACTCAACTCTACTGGTCAACACAACACCACTTGGTTGAGCTGTCTAGTAAGCGGTTTTGCCTTCTCCACTCCGGTCTTCTTTAATTTTGCGGGAACACAGGGTAAGGTATTCGACGTAGATTGCTGCCGTGGCCGCGGCTTGGTCCAAGACAACATGCCGGGGCTCTCAACAAATTGTCGACCCCGCTATTGAACACGATTGGCCTTCAACAAGTTAAAAATCGACGTTTTGCTTAGATGGCCTATGAATTACTCTGACTCGATTTATCCGGCCATGTTTGACCATTCGCTGTGCTCCTTCCCGTTCGCGATTTGCTCCTGTGTGTTTTGCTACACTTCACAACTGACTGAAGTAAAACAAAATGGTTTAGCTTAATACTGCTATCACATTGCCTGAGCATTAATAAGCTGTCGTTTAACAAAAACAAGAACATTAAAGCAACTATAAAAGTGCATCTAAAATTGGAAATTTTTCGAAAAAGCAAGTTGAAAGCCTCTGCTTTTCCTGTTTTTAAGGGCGTCAGAAATCATCACATCGATTTATCTACGAGGAGCATTTAAGTACCGTGAATTCACTATAAAAAGTACATTTGATGTTAATAAAACTCAATGGCATTGCAAGCGCAGATTCATGACAACTTCAAAATTAATCAAAATGTCATTTGTCAAATTAGTTCAGGTGCATTGCCTTCTAACGAACTAACTTTATTCCACCTGGTCTAATTTTTTTGTTTTATGCTAACAATTTATTTTGTGATATATTTAGCCTATTTATCAAACGTGGAGCCCTACTTAATTTTATTTGCATTCTTAATTATATTTTGAACTTCTTTTTTAAGTATCAAACTGCACTGGTTCATAAGTATTCATCAGCTTTATGACAAATGACCACGATTAGGAGATGTCATGGATGGCAGTCATCGTGTGTTTACTGGTATATCCATGGCCTAAGGGGTTGTGAGTAATGAGCTCTGAAAAATGATGAGATTGGTTAGTCTTCTGGTGGTGGTCGTATTATAACCAGTTTACTTTAATCAACGTGTAGACCAAATACCTGTTTAATTTAGTGTTAACACCGCAACTAGGACAAAATATTTTAAAAGGAAAAATTCCACTTTGTTTAAAAAATCGGAATTCAATGCATGTTGTGCCATACATTTGGCGAGGTTTATTGATGTCCCTATAATAATAATAATTACAATTTGCTATCACAAAGGTGTACAGACAGGTGACCTCTGAATTAATAACAAAATCAGGGTACTGATAATGTATTAGGCGTCTGTAAGATTTGCTTGGGTTTCTTAATGTTTAGCATCTTTTTGGATGATTGTGCATCCGAAATTAATCAGTTAAATGAATGCAGATGTGTTGCATTCTTCCAAAAATCTATCGCACTGCTAACTAGTGGTTAATTGTAAGCAGGAAAAGTCGACAATTTTCAAATTCCGCGGGTTCATTGCACTTGCCGCTGTGGTAATTTGAATATCAGCTGTTCTAGGCTTCAGCCAATAATTTTTGACTGTTCGGTTTTCGCATGAAATATGCTTCAAATATTCGCTGGTGCCATTCGCACAATGTTTTATTTGAATCTTAATTCTAGGACGCACATGCGATTCTTCCGATCATAGGTTTAAAAAAATTTTGCAAGAAAACCTTTTGTCAAATTAACATTTGGGATTTCGAACATGAGAATGCCAGGCAGTTTGCAAATAATTGAGTACTTCACGGCGAACCAAATCGTGAAAACTCGTTTTAAACGCAAATATTTCATCGGATTTTGCCTGTGACAGTGAAAATCTACGTAGCGTTTTCATAAAGTGCGATAGGCTAGGCGAAAGATTTGTAAAAACATTTATCGTGTCAATCAGTCATGAGTTTCAAGCAAGCAAGAGCTGAACAGATACGACACCCGTCTTCAGCACGCCCCCGTTCGCAGTCAAGCGAGTGTTCATCGGCAGAATGCAGAAGCCACGCAGTTGGATTTTGACAGATATGGTTATTGGCACAGTGCACATCCCTAAAACCGAACTGGAGCCCACTGTTTGACGCACCATCATCATCAGCATCACACCAAAAGTTTTTTTATTTGCGCTTATTTGAAAACATGCCCAATCTGTGGCGTGTCCAAGGGCATCTCAGGTTCAAGCCTCATGTTGTTTGCTGAGCAAACACGCTGCTATCGTGACTTTGCTGAAGGCAACCAAACCAAAAAGGACTACCTCGCCCACACAGTGGATTACCGCTTGAGAGTCGTTTCAAGGTTCATCCAGTTAACCTCTGTTTACTAACCCAGGTATGGGAGTAACAAACACCAACACGTCTTTCAAATTCAAGTTCCTAATCATAGGAACCCCTCAAGAAATCAAGAATCGAAGACGCAAGTAGGACGGGATTGTTCATTAGACTCATATCGTGCCTCAATTGGAAAAGGACAGAACTTCCATTGATGTTAACAAGGATGAGAGCAGGGTGTTACAGATTGGGAAGGATGTCACAGAGGAAGGTGTGGTGTTCAGACGAGTCCATGGATCCAAATCCGTCACAAAATGACCTTCGTTGGTGTGGAATCCTAGGCACCACTACTCGAAACGCGTGTTTCCTACAACCACTATCCCCTCCGATCTTGTTACGAAGACTAAATTTACAAAAGCCCAC